AAATAATATTTTTATAATAATTACACAAAATGACACATAAATTCATTTAGGCAATTAGACAAATAACAATTAATATTAATGGCAATAATAATAATAATAATAATAATAATAATAATAATAATAATAATAATAATAATAATTATAATAATAATAATAAAATCCAATTTATTCATAAACGAACGGGGCGTTACAAATATGCTCCCGGCTACGTTGCCTGATTTTCCGAGGATACTCCCGTCACTAATCTTTCACGCGCGTTCCGGCACTTAGCTGATTTTCCTATTCCTGCGGGGTTTAGTATTCGCGCCTTACCTATTCCTACGAGGACTAGGCTTGCCCCCTTGTTTTTGCATTGTGCCTCGCGCGTGTCGCCTTGCGCCCTTCCTCGTCGTCCAGCGTCCCGCGCTCGCCCGACCACCCCTTGCACTCGCTCGCGCGCCTATGCGCACTCGCTGTCCATCCGCCGTTGCCATCCGCGCATGCTAATGCTCGCGCATTGCCCGACCATCCGCAGCAGCCTCCTTCGCCTAATCTTCAAGCGCCATGCGTGTCTACGCCAATGCGCGTGTGCGCGCCCTTGCTTAATGTACCTCTCCGTGCGTGTGAGCGTTTATAGCCTCGAGACCATCTTCTCGCGCGCCCTTGCGTACTCCCATGCGCGACCTCGTATACGAGCTCGTACCCGTCTTTTAGGCCATGCATGTGTCGTTTTGTCCCTTTTTCGGGCCTCATCGGGTCGACTCGGCTCTTGGCCCTTCTTGTCGTTGGGGGTCAAAACCCACCTACGTATCACCTGCGGCGCACGGGCGTGCAACTGGCTGCGAAAATCAAAGGGCCGCAACCCTTGGTGACCATAAGGTATCTTTTGGCCACTAGATGTATCCGTTCTCTTTTGGACACGTCCAAAAATGTGTCTTTTCGCACTTAAATCTCTTAGAGGCGTTTTCCTACATCTATAAATACTCACATACATGAAACCATTCGTAATATGAAGATTAGAGAGCTCTTGCATTATTTTTCAAATATCATATAGCATATTGTATTCTATAATTTTTTCATTGAGTCTTGAGACTTCCAAACAATAGTATTGTTCGCCGAAGACTTGTATATTTGAAGTACCGCTATATACAAGTCGAAAGTCGTTGTATCTTGGACGCGTTTGTCGTTAACCGTTGATATTTTATATGACAATTTCGTCTTAACAAGAACGTAATTATCACCTGTCTCGACTTTGATTTTTGTTTGTTTTCTTTATTCTCTTTAAGCCTTCTTTTTTATATTTACAAACTACACAAACTACACAACTGAGTTATGCGGGAGCGCCACATAGAGTTCTTCTCGATGTACAAGCGTGCATCATCTAAAAGAGTGAATTCTCGATGTACAAGCGTGCATTCTCGATGTTCAAATCTCTCTTATTAATTTCAGAACCCTAAATTCATGTCCCGTTATGATGTCTCCGTGAGATCATCATCCATGGCGACAACTAACGGAAAATCAAAAAATAGTGAAGGCAGGACGGCGCCAATGTCGTCTATGGATCCATCAAGTCTGGCGAGGTATGGTTATGTTTTCTTTTTTATAGCCATCATGTCCGGCGATGTATGGTTTTTCTAAAATTGAGACATTCTAGTATTAGTTCATTTGTGATGATAGCAGCTTGAGGATGAAGGAATTAGTAGCCACACTGTGCGATTTTCTGTTTAGTTCGTTTACTGTAGCTTTATATTTTGAAATACGAGTCAAAAAGTTGAAATGAATCGAGTAAATTAGGCTGAATTTCTCTGTGTGTGATTACGGTGATGAACGGTGTATGTGAATCCATGGAGTCTGATACTTGTGTTTGCTCGATTGTTTTTTCTGCACGGTTGTTAGCTAATTTTAGGTTATTTGTGAAAAAATCGAACCTACAGTTGAGAGCTGGTTTTTTTACCCTTTGGTGATTTAATGGTAAAAACTAGGATTGGAATTATGTGAATTTTATGCCCCAAATTCTTGCAGGTTGGGTTGCGATTGCTTCTTTGCCCTCTCGAATGTGGTTGTCCGAAAGGCATGGTGGGTTTTTTTTCATGAATCTTTTTTATGATTGTTAACATTTTGAAGATACTATGTTCTTTTCATTTTTTCTTATTTCATTGTTTATTTTTTTGTTTTGGGCAGTTGTTCAGTGGGTGTTGTCTTGCCCTTTTATTCTACGTTCAAGGCCATTGAAGCAAGGGATGAAAATGAAGAACATAAATGGCTCATGTACTGGGCCGGTTAGTGATGAGGCCTTAAAACATTCACTAGTTTTAATTATCATGGAATTTCTACCGTGTTATTCACAATCTCTATCTTCTATTATCATTCGAAAGGACAAATGTCATATTAGAATTTTGTGGAATTGTGTTAAGCCTTGAATGAGAGGTGTTTTGATATGTGATAAACAGAAATGAAGTTTGATATTTTAACCATTTATGCGAATTAGACTGTAACTTAATAGATTACTCTTATCTCGGTTTTTGCTTACTGGTTGCAGCTTATGGATCCTTTAGTCTTGCTGAGGTGTTCACTGATAATATACTTTACTGGTACTTATCCATGCCTTCTTAATTCCCAAATTGGAATAAATAATTAAAAAGTAATGAAGACACTCACACGACCTTTCAAATTTTTCTGAAATTTAACCTATATTAGTTTGTTCATCGATTGACTTATTAGTTTTTACTTAAAAATAGGAAAGTGGTGCATTGTTTTATTTTATCAGGTGTCCTTTTTACTATCAAATGAAGTTTGCATTTCTTGTGTGGATACAACTTCCATATGTTGACGTAAGTCATTTTTATTTTTGCCAAGCTTATTGTTTGAAACATATCGCCTATAACTTTTATTTTTATTTTTTTCATTTTCAAGGATTGAATTGAGTCGTACTATAGTATAAATCATGCTGCTAACAATTCTGTTAAACTTTTGAACTAAATTTCTGGACTGTCTAAATCGTGGTGGTGCAGTAGAAGGCTTTTTAGATTGTATATCATGGCGTTCAACCTTGAAAGCAGTTTGTTATGCATTATTATTACGATTATTTTGGTTATTCAAGAGTCGAAACGAATTACTCATATCTGCAAGTTTCTTTTAGAATTTTGAAAGATCCGAAAACAATATCAGATTCTGAATTTAGTTTTACTTTTCCTATTTTTTGTTGAAATTCTAAAACTGGCGAATTCTGGCAGGGACAAAGCAGCTGTATATCATGAACTACATGCTACCCTTCCTCTCAAGACATCAATCAAAACTCGATCGACCCGTGGGTTTCTTTTATTATGAAATGGTAATTATTTTCATTTAACTTGTTAAAGTGTAGAATAAATTTGTAGTTTAATAACCAATATTGCATTATTCTGCTCCCATATGTGAAATTCGTCAAAAACCACGAAACAGAATTTCTGATTGCAAGGAAGCTCATTATGAAGATTTTGTTGTAATCTGACCTACATTAGAATATAGTTTAACCTGTTTTGCTTGCTCCTCTACGGAGTGGCATTTCTATTATTATTACCTTTATTGGCAAAAAATAAGACAAATTTGAAAAATGGAATCATATACCCAAATCCAATTTATTTGGTCATAATATAAAAAGGAAAAATATACTTTACCTTTAGTTTTGTTCATGCATAATTTCTTTCTTGTTTTATTATTTTTTTAATAATTAATTGCTAGTAGTTTAGTTTTTGTCGATCTATATAAAAAATCTTACAATTTTTAACTTGCTATAAAGAATTCTATGCCCCTTTTCATTTCTCTTTTCATCCTTTTTCATAAATCTTCTTAGAGCGAACATTTTTCACAGCACATAATGAATAAAAAATGAGCTCCTTCTCGCATTTCGACTCGTTGAAACCAAAGGGAGTTTGGTGATAAGACAACGATACGAACTTGAAGGCAAAGGAGATTGATCACTTGGAGAGATTGCTGGAAATTTGAACATCTCAAGAGAAATGGTCCGAAAGCAAGAGGTGAAGGCTCTCATGAAACTCAAGCTTCCGGCTTGAGTTGATTACCTTCGCCGATGCATTTCCCGGTGAGGATGAATATTCGATATAAATAGTAAACACCTATTTCATTTATACATTCTGTACTCGCACGAAAGTGTATAACCGTGTAATAAAGAGTATATTTATTACAACTGTTTTTTCAACATAAAACATTCAAGAAACAACTGTCTTGAACAAAAAACAGTTGTCTTGTTGAAGAAACATGTTTCTTGATCAAGAAAACAAGTTTCTTGAACAAAAAAACATGTTTCTTTAGTGTTCTAAAAGTCGTTAGGCGCCCGCTAGGCGCTCAACTAGCGCCTAGCGCCTAGAGCGTCTAGGCATGGCCTAGAAATCAATATTAATTACATTATTTTTTATTTGTTTTAACTACCTACAAAATAAAACTATCTCAACTTACATACGTAAGTCCAAATAATAATATTAATATATTTTTAAAAAAATATATGAGAACAAAATAATATAATTAGTAATGTAAGTGTGAGCGTTCTGGCCCGGTTTGAGGTAGATCGCTTCTCGTCCTCTCCAGTAGAGCGCCGGAAACCTGCCTTTAACTCTCACACCGAGAGTTTTTCCGATGAAGAGCCTCCGATGCTTAAGTAAGTATGTGTATGAGTATACTTGAGTTGAATAATGAAAAAATCGTGTCAAGGAAGAAAGGGTCACTTCTATTTATATAGAGGTGAGGTACCTGACCTAGAGGCTGCCCCAGCTGCCATCCGTACTCTGAGGTGGCGCTGGGAGTTGTCAGAGGTGGTTGTCGCTGTCAACCAATGCATTCTCGCCACGTGTCCTCTGCATATGAGATAATTATTCCTCTGAATATTCCCCTGAAATTTTGGTAGAGACTCTTACACGCACCAGTGATTAGGTCGATCTTCATAGTACTGAGTCCATGATGTGGTCGATCTATTGAGGTCGACTAGACTGCTCGACTGTTCGACTGCTCGACCGCTCAACTGGTCTATCATTCAATTATTCGCGATACACTGCTCGTCCTGGAGTTTCCCAACTCTTATCTTCAGGGTGCTCGACCATCATCATCTTGCTTGATGCTACTTGGATTAGTTCCGCTTCCTCGCAATACAACCCCTTCGACTGGTTCAGAAGACTGGTTTACCCTTGCGGGTATAATATCCTATATCATCTAGTCCCCTCCACTCTGGTCGAGTCTGAATGACTCGATCTAAGAGTGAATTTGTGCTCACCTCTATGATAATATGTCGTATATCGACCATCCGGTGTGTTTCCCGCTATTTTTTCAATTAATTTCCCTTTAACCGCAAGAAATGAAGTTGCCTACCACGCATCCTTTCTGCCGCGCTTGCACATCTGCCACATGTCGTATCTGTCTCGTCTGACATGTGCTTTAATCATTGCATTCTTCGCATAACGTGCCCCTTTTGAATCCCGTGCTAATTGAATGCCATTAACCGTGGGATCTCATCTTAATCCTACGGCCCTTATCCTCCCACCTTTAAATTCTCTAAGTATAAAACCAACACTTAGCAAAATTTTGGGTTTTTTCCACCTTTGCATCCTCTAAACTCTCTTGTGCTCTAAGTTCTCTGCAAACCCTAGCTTCTTGCTTTCGACGATTCCTCTTGCGTTCTCCCGGCTCTTTCAACACTTTCGACTGCAACTATGAGTAAGTTGTTCTTCGCTTGAATTTATGCTACCTGCGTTTCAGATTTTTGTGTTTTTTAATTTTTCGAGTTGGGTATCTCGAACCTGTTTGTTGAGTGTTCTGAATTTGTGTGCTTTGCTATGAATCTATGCATTGGGTGCTTTGATTTGCTTGCTGAGCGTTGTGAATTTTACTCTTCCTTTCAAAATTTTTCGAAATTCCTATTCTTCTTCCTCAATCTCTTCAAAATCGCCTCTTCGCAGAACCCTAGTTTTTGAAAGTCTCTTCCTTTCCTCCTCCTCTCTTCGCGAGAGTTCCCTTTTTTTATTCCATTTTTGTTTTTTTTTTATTTTTTCAGATTCTGCATCTTCGAGCAAAAATGACCCCCACTCTGGTGTTGACCTGAGCTCCTCGTCCTCTTCTTTGACCACTCATGTGGTCTCTCCTGCTTCTTCTGTCTGTCCAAGAACTTACTTTTGTCGCCGACGACGTTCCTCTCTCCATTCTTCATCCCGACAATACCGTTCCTACCCCTGTCTTCCCCTCTACTCCTACTCCATCTTCTCCGGGGACACCATGGATAACATTTCCCTCCGCCGCCGTCGACCTGCCTTTGGCTAACAAGATGTGCCAGAGGAGGACGAGGACCATCTTGATACCGCCCCTCTCTCCTCGCGATTTACCACTTCCAAACCTGCAACCACAACCCTTCTTCCTCTCAGATTGCTCCCCCAGAATACTCGACCGTTCTCTCTTCTTCCTCAAAACCTGACGCGCCCAAATCTTCAACCATTCCTCCTTCTTCCCAACCTGGCGCATCTAACTCTTCGCCCAAAAAATCTCCGCCCAATGAATCTTCAACCAAGAATTCCTCTAAAACCTCCTTTAAATCTCCCTCTTCTGGCCCTCGCACAGTTTGGATGGTTCGATCGTAATAAGGTCGGTCATCCTTCTAGCTGGGCCTTCTATAGCCCTTCTTCCTCTGACACCTACGACCATCACCTGCTTCCGATTGCTATACTCTCTTTGAGATCCAGCTCGAACATGGCGTTCGCTTTCCTTTGAACCCCGACCTAGTCAAAATATGCGAGTGGTTCAAGCTTCCCTTAAACCAACTTCCTCCCAATGCCATTCGCTTCATGACCACCTTCCTTATCCTCTGCCATATTCGCCTAGGTCGATTCGACCTGGCTTTTTTCCACTATTGATACGCCCCTTCTAAACAAGCTCGAGGCCTTTATCTAAAGAGCCGCAACAATGCCCATTTTATCTCCGACATCCCCTCAAACATCCCAAAATGGATCGACAACTTCGTTTTTGTCGACTCTGATGTTCTTTTCCTTGGGACGCTACTCCTTGGCTCAAGGAACTTCCTCATGAGGTCTCGACCCCCTGCTACTAACCCTCTTTTCGACCAACGTATTCTCGTTTGGAATTCCAAACCCGTTGCGTCAAGAACTCTTCTCAAGGATGAAAACCTTCTCCATCACTATGGCCTTCTCACCCACAAAACCTTTTCTCCACCCACCGAAGAAACCCTTAATTTGATTTTGATTAAGGAGGATCCAGGTAATTTTCGACCAGTTTGCTCAAATTTTCGCATACATCTTTGTTTCTGCCCGAGTATGCATTATTGATATTGACTTTACTTTTTCCTGTTATCTTCTTGAAAAGATGCCCAGCTTCCACATTCCTCTAAGGAAGACCCTTTGAAGAAGAAGTCTGGTCCTGGTGCCACCTCTGGATCGGTCGGAACTCCGGTCGACCAGGTTGAGAGCTCGACCACCACCTCTCAATCCCAACAACAACAGCAGTAGCCTCAACAACAATCACAACAACAACAACCCCAACAGAAACAACAACAGCAGCCACAAAAACAACCACAACAACAACAATAGCAACAACAACAACAGCAGAAACAACCACCACCTCCTCCTAAGACCACACCACAACCTAAATATACCTCCACTCCAACCGCCACAGACACGACCAAAACCTCGACCACCTCCAAAACTGGAAACAACCAAACTTCCAAAACCAGCAATAACCAAACTTCCTCTAAAAAAACCGACCACCAGAGCACCTCTGCCACTACCGGCACAAAGGACAAACTTTCCCATAACAACACTCAACCCAAAACCAACACTCAAAACAAACCTCCTCCTCCCAATAAATCCTCCTCGAGGAAACCTTTTACTGACTCGACCAAAACCGTGGTCGAGTCTAGTGGTCAAGATACCCTTGGGCGCGAGGTAGCCCAGAGGAAACGCTCTCGCACCGACCAAACCGAGGTGCTCGCCAAGCGGGTGCGCACCGGACCATCTACTAACACCCTGGCCTCTAGCTTTAACTCGCTGCTAAAGGCCCCGGTGAATGAGGTAGTTGCCCGCCTCGAGGGCGCCCTCCTTGAGGACGACAAAAAGGACGACGACGTCACGTTGTCTGAACGTGGCAACCGCCTTGCGCAATGGCTCGCCCAGTTATGATTCTTCTCTTCCTTCGGTTGTGCTCTTCCGTTGTGTCTCCTTGTTACATGTGCTAAACGTGTATTTTCCCTTTGATTGTAGGGCTTGGT